AGTAATTTAATGTATAATCTGTACAAGAATCAATTGCTTCTTAATCATAAAATCGTTGCACAAATAACTATATTAAAGGGGAATTGTCTTTTTACGATTGCCAACGATATCATTAATAAAACTTCCCCAGAGAGTGAACTCCGGGAAGGTGGTAGAATAAAAGAGATTTGTATGATAAAATAGAATTCATATTAATTATGAAAATAATAAACCACGCTAAAAAAAAATACCAATCCGCATAAACTTTGAGTTTAGATTCAATTAATGAAGTAAAGTAACTCTATTTTTTTTAGAACAGGAGTTCTAGTAATCGACTTGCTTTTTTCATATTTTTTTTCTTCATATTTTTGTTTTTGCAATTTTAAGAAGAGGTGACGAACTTCCAAAAGGTAACAAAGATAAAATACGAGCTTGTTTTATAGCAATCGTAATCCATCGTTGTTGTTTTAAGGTCAATTTATTAACACGTCTAGATAAATTTTTGCCTTCTCGAGTGATAAGTTTGAAAAGTAAACTCAAGTTTTTATAATCAATTTGATCCCCAAATTGGATTAGGGGCGACCTCCTACGAATTGATTTCTTCTTCTTCAATTTAACAAATAGTAGCTTAGATGATTTAACAAACAGTCGCTTAGATTTATCCATGGTTTGTTTATTCCTATACCGAAAATCTCGTTTGTTATAAAAAAGGATTTGTTTTAGTTATATATATTCTTTTCTTTTTTTAATAAATTTTATTTTTTATATAAGTAAATAGATCCTATATAATTATATATGTATATAATTTCATGTTATAGAATTTTATTTATAGAATATAGAGAAGATAATTTCTCTGATATCTATATAATTCATTTTTATGTTATTTAATTTTTTCAATTTATCTCCTAAGGGTAATACACAAGTAATCCATTTTCTCTATTTCTTGATCTCTGCGTGAATCATATGTTTGCAACAAAAGGGACATAATTTTCTCAATTCCAATCGACTAGGCGTATTGTGTCGATTCTTTTGAGTAATATATCGAGAAATACCTCTCGATTCCTTATTAACACTCTTTTTATCACAACTAGTACATTCTAAAATAACAATTATTCGGATATCTTTACCCTTAGCCATGATCCTCCTTTGGTTTTTTTTATTCACTTAACTCTTCGATTTTAAGATTCGAAGGGAAGACGAAAAAAGGAACGAAAAAAAATATAAGTTGATAAGTCAAAATAAAAATCTGAAATATTTTGTTCCACTTCATTTTATATAGTACAGTAATAATTCACTACGATGCTTTCGAAATATATTTCGAATTACAGTATAGTATTTCTGTTTTTATTTAAATATCTTTTATGATATTATTTCCCCTGCCCTAATAATTCCATTTCTGGTCTGAATATTAAGAATTCTAATAGTTATTAATAGAAATGGAATTGAAGTATTAATTCAATTCCATTTAAACGAAACCTGGGCAAAATTCAAAATTTCACGGAGGCCCAATCCACCTTTTTGAATTTCCTTAATTTATTATTCTAGTATAATTAATTAGAAAAAAGCAACGCTGAGGGATTGAATCACAGATATTTTATTGGATCGCTAATCTTCGTCACCCTTTCCCGTGCCAATAACTAAAATAAAAAAAAGGGGAATGTCAATGCATCTGGGAATAAACGATTGATTTCGATCAAGAGACCCGCTAGAGCTGTGAACCATAAAGTACTTGCCACTGGTGCCACAGAGAGATATGTTTTTAGGTCTCGCATTTCCAATCCTCCTTCATTTTTTCTTGTAATTTTGAATACCTAATAATACAGAATATAGGAATATGATTCCAAGTTTTTTTATTAATAAAACCACTTGGATTTGTCGGGGGAAGTCCGAATCCAAATTGAATTGTACAACAATTCATTAGATATTTTTTTATAGAGTACTTTTTTTATAAGAATTAGAATAATAGACTATTATTCTAAATTCTATTATATATATATATATTATTCTTATTTGTATATTCTTTGTTCTTGTTATTATACTCTCTGTATCTTATTATTTATATATCCTATCTATTCCCGGTTTTAAATTATTTATATTAATTGAATATAACTATTCTATCAGAATATTTGTTCTTTATATGATCGATCTAAGAAAGTAAAACAAAAAAAACAAAAAAAAAATGGCAGGATATATTCCATATATAATGGAAGAATGTGGAAAACAAGACAAAAAAATTTTAGAATGACACTGGAAACTTATGTCAAGGGATGTAGCGCAGCATGGTAGCGCGTTTGTTTTGGGTACAAAATGTCACAGGTTCAAATCCTGTCATCCCTATTCCTAACGATTAGTTATCATATGAGCAGTAACAAGAGATCAATTTTGAGCGATTCAAATTGGACATAGATACTCAAGTTATATGAATAGTTCTCCATATTGAGTTTGTATGCATGCAATATGTATTGCCATTTCATAAAATTCTTTAGCAAAAGAAAGCGCTCTTAGTTCAGTTCGGTAGAAC